CTTTTGTTGTTCAATGTGAATAAAAAAAACTTTTAGTTACCTACTGCTCGGTCACCTGGTCCCTTTCATTTTATATATATTTTTTTAATTTTTATTTACTTTTTTTTTTTTTTGAGATAAGACATGAGAGCTGCTGCCAGGGCTGCCCTGCTGCCTCTGGCTCACCCTGTCCCCCAGCAGTCCCCATGGGTCCCCCGGGTGGGACAGGTGCCCCGGTCACCCTTACAAGGTGATGCTGTTGCATCACCCATCCAGTACCCCAGCCCCCCATCACCCCAGCTCTCCAGCACTGGGGGGGAGGACAGGGTGATGGGTTACCCAGTCAGCACCTTCCCCCCCAGCAGACAAGCCAGTGCATTATTTCTTTCTGGGGGGGAGTGGGTATCGTGTGTCCCCCCCATCGACAGCTTTTGCCACATCTGCCCCAGAGGGGCAGGCAGGAGGGGGGGATCCCTGCCCCCACCAGTCCACACTTCCCCCTCTCTTTGCCTTTCTTGTTTTCCAAGATACAAAAATAAAGTCCAAGACAGGCTGCAGCTCTGAACTAATATTTAAAATGCAAAATCATGGCAGAGTTCCCCCCCCACCCTCTTGTCTTGCAGTAAAAAGATATAAACAGAATAAATTACCTTCCCTCACTGACTTACGAGAGTCCCTCTCTCCTGACCTGAATTTTAAGTCCTGGCTTGGTTGTAGCACGGAGCACCAATGATTTATGGAAAGCCAGCCACTTCTCTGCATATTTTCTCTGTTCAGCTAAGTGACGGAATTTATCCTTCCTATACCATTACCAGCATTAATAACAGGGTGGCAAATGAGCCAGGCCAAGCCCCAGGAATCCTCAGCCAAAGCCATCACAGAAACGCTGAGCCCTCACTAACCACAAAGCAAAGCCCCCTCTCCCCTTTTAACGGGGTGGGGGGGAACTGAGGCAGGAGCACAACTGACTGCTCTCTTCTGATCCACCCCTCCTAGACTGTTGGTGTTATCAGGTAATGAGTGCTACTTACAAGGACAGGGTCACTTGTTAAATAATTCCCTCCTAGCATAATTTTGAGCATTATAAAATGGAGCACAAGGTCATTCCCTGGGTGAACTTTGGCAGCTAATATTATTATTATCATTACTGGTATAATGCTGCGCCCTGGGCTTGCCTGTCTTGCAAACTCCCGCCTGTGGCTGGGCACTGGGAGAAGGGACATGATGCTGGGGGAAGCACAGGCCATGGGAGACAGAGCTGGGTTTGTAGGGAGCAGCTGGGTTCAGCCTGCTGGTTACCCCAGCCCTTAGCCACAGACAGGTTTGGGGTCACCATGGCAGCCTGGTTTGGGGTTCCTGTTGTACCCAGGGTGGGGATACAGCATCACAGCTGAGATTAGGGTCCCCATTGCAGTCGAGGTGCCAGGTCCCCATCACCCCAGCAGTTCCAAGGAGGCACCAGTGCCCAAGTGCCACAGGTGACCCCCCCCGCCACCAGCAGGGCCCATGTCCACCCCCATGGAGTGTGCCCTGGATAACCTGCACCCCTACGTCCCTGCCAAGAACATCCAAATCCCCCTCAGCTGGCACACAAAGCCCAGGTGCTCCCTTGTCAGGGCAAAAAAGGACAAAGCTTCTTGTTGGGGTGCTCAGGGAGTCACCCCAAATTCCACAGCTGTGCCCATGGCACCACCAGTGATAACCCCATGGGATGGTGCTGGGAAACACCATGCCGAGCTCCCAGCTCCCTCCGAGCCCCAGCAGAGCAGCGCCAGTCCTGGGAATAAACTTCATTCCAAAAGCTGTTGGGCAAACATCAATGCTATTTTTTTTTTCTGACCTTTTCCCCTCTTTTCTTCAGGAGGGGAAGGTCTGCAGAAGGTGGAAAGTAATCAGGTTTTGGACCTAGGATAAAAAATGGCTGGAGTAGGTCGGGCTGACTCCATATAATTAATAGTGTGCCTCATAATAGGATTCTCCAGCCTTCGGTGCTCCCTGGAAACTCCTTTTTACATAAGATATTGCCCACAATGGAGCAGGAGAGCTTTGATTTATGGGGTTTTGGCCTCAAAAAAGCATTCTGGGGGGCTGGCCTGGTTGGTAGGGTGTACTGGGAGAGGGGAGAAAGGCTGAGGGCAGGGAGGGTATTTTGGGGCGCAGTCGCCTGGCCCAGGGAAAAGGCTTTGGGGGGGGGAGTGCCTGTGGTCTGAGAAGCCTGGAGGAAAGGGAGGAATGGGAAAAATGAGTCGGATTGGGGAAAAAGCAGGTCACGGAGGGGTCTGTCATGGGGTGCACACACACGCACATATGTCAATGCACTCACAGGTGTCAAACACAGATGGGGAGCTCTCCCAATAAATCACCGTAACAAGCAGTTGGGTGTGTGGCGTTCTCTTCCAACCGCAGATCGCGGTGGGGATGGGAGAAGATTGTAATAATTAATAATCATTAGAATAATAATGCATAAAGACAGTAGCAAAGTAATTAGTCAGGGAGGGAGCACTTGCTAATTGAAGCAGGGAACTGCAGTACAAACAACCTGGGGAGGAGCAGGGAGGGGGCACCGAGGGTGGGGGGGACACAGAGGAGGGGCCTGGCAGGTCAGGGGGCAGAGAGGGACATGTGCTCCTCATGCAATTGCACAGGCAGAGCCTTGGCTCCATCCCTGCTTGCAGTGGGAGCCCTGGTCTTGGCTGACCCTGTGCCTCAGTTTCCCCATCCCTACATGGATGCTGTGTGCTGGGCAGACAAGAAGAGTCCGGCCCCGTGTCTGCCAGGCAGCAGAGCTTTATTTTGGTGATTCTGGAAAGAAAGCAAGCAGAGGGTGCCAGCAGGGCTCCGTGGCGTTCCACTCTTCGGTGTGGCCATCACTCCAGCCCCAGCTGGCTCTTCAAAGCCTGCAGCTGGGCCCCCTGGATGCTGCTGGCCCCACCCACCCCCAACACTCACGG